CCAGGCGCCCCTGTTCATTTGTTTTAAAGTGGAAAATCACTAGGGCACCTGGGTGGCACAGTTAGTTAAGCGTTGGACTCTTGATTTTGGATCAGGTCACTATATAGGGGATCGAGCCTTGCATTGGGCTCCCTGCTCAGCATGGAGTCTGCTTAAGATTCTTTCTCTTTGCCCCTTCCCCCAGCTTGCGCACACATGCGTGTGTGCTCTCTCTCTCTTTCTCTCTCTTTCAAATATACTTTAAAAAAAAATGTAAAGTGGAAAATGACCCTTAGAAACCAAAATCTGAGCACAAAGTATCCTCATTACTATTGATGTGTCATTTTTTCCAGGCCCTAGTGCACAAAACTGTAGTGTGTATGTGACCTGTACATGTTTATGTACGAATGTATGCATGTGTATTTGTGTCCGTGTATCATACATCCTTCTACACACATATATATCTGTATTACTGTATCTCAATATGCATTGAAGACCATGACTCCACACAGGTATTTTCAGTTCTAGTCTACCGCCGTAGGATCCATTCTGATTTTTTCCCTTGTCCTCTTTGTAACTCTTTTCTCCCACAGTGAGAATCCTGGCTTTCATTATTCTCATGACATACATTTATTTGGTCAATTCCCCTCTATGTAAATAATCTAATGCTGGCATCCTTTGCTGCTTCCCTCCCCCTCCCCACTCAGTGTTGACACCTTCCTCATCTGCCTGGGCTCTGTTATGGAATGAATTTTTGTGTTTTGTGTTGAAACCCTAACCCTCAATATGATGGTATTAGGAAATGGGGACTTTGGGAGATAATTGGGTTTAGATGAGGTCATGAGGGTGGAGCCACCATGATGAGATTATTGCCCTTATAAGACGAAATACCAAAGCTGCTTCTCTTTGCAATATGAGGGTACAATGAGGACGGGGCTATCTGCAAGCCTGGTAGAGGGCTCTCAACAAGCGCCAAACTCCCTGGCATCTTGATCTTGTATTTCTCAGCCATCAGAACTATAGGAAATTGTGTTGTTTAAGCCCCCCAGTCTATGGTGCTTTGTTATAGCAGCCTGAGCAGTCTCAGGCAGGCTCTGGAACCCTATGCTGAGTTGCCACACCCCGCCCCCCCCCCTTAGATTTCTCCTCACCCCTCTTGAGATCTGACATCGCTTTGGGGTGGCTGTCCTGGTGGATGCCCTCCTTCCTCATTCTGCTGGGTGTCTCACCTCTACCCCAGGCCACTGTGGTTCTCCCACACTTGCATCCATGCCTCCTACCTTACTCAGCCCTCTAATTGGCTGAATTTTTCAAGAAGGGGAGGAAGAGTGGTAAGCCAGAGATGGGGTGGGGCAGAGGCTTAGAAACGCAGTAATACCCCTTGAAACACTTCTAGTGCCAACGGCACAGTCCAGTTTTTGAAAATAAGTGAAGTAGCAAAATGGACAAATTGTGTATCTTTAGAGCAATGTTCAGCAAACTATGGCCCATGGGTCAAATCTAACCTGTGGCGTGTTTTGGTACAGTTTATGAGTTAAGAATGGATTTTACATAATTTAAGCATTGTTAAAAATAAAATACACAGTATAATATGCAACAGACCATATATGGCCTGCAAAACCTGAAATACATGCCATCTGGTCCTTCCGACCTCTTCTTTTTTTTTTTCTTTCTTTAAATTTTTTATTGTTATGTTAATCACCATACATTACATCATTAGTTTTTGATGTAGTGTTCCATGATTCATTGTTTGCATATAACACCCAGTGCTCCATGCAGTACGTGCCCTCCTTAATACCCATCACCAGGCTAACCCATCCCCCCACCCCCCTCCCCTCTAGAATCCTCAGTTTGTTTTTCAGAGTCCATCATCTCTCATGGTTCATCTCCCCCTCCGATTTCGCCCCCTTCATTCTTCCCCTCCTGCTATCATCTTCTTTTCTTTCTTAACATATATTGCATTATTTGTTTCAGAGGTACAGATCTGTGATTCAACAGTCTTGCACAATTCACAGCGCTCACCATAGCGCATACCCTCCCCAATGTCTATCACCCACTTCTGACCTCTTCTTTAGAGGATTATTATTTTTTTTTTAAAGATTTTATTTATTTATTTGACAGAGACACAGCGAGAGAGGGAACACAAGCAGGGGGAGTGGGAGAGGAGAAGCAGGCTTCCTGCTGAGCAGGGAGCCTGATTGGGGGCTTGATCCCAGGACCCTGGGACCATGACCTGAGCTGAAGGCAGACGCTTAACGACTGAGCCACCCAGGCGCCCTGAGGATTATTATTTCTTAAACATCATTTCTTAAAACTAGACTTTTGACTCTGGAGCACTTGGGTAGCTCAGTCCGTTAAGTGTCTAGCTCTTGATCTCAGCTCCTGTCATGATCTCAGGGTCATGAGATCAAGCCCCACATCTGGCACTGCACTGAGCATGGAGCCTGCTTAAGATTCTGTTTCTCTCCCTCTCTCTCTGCCCCTCCCCCCTGCCCATGCTCTCTCATGTTCTCTCTCTCTAAAAAAAAAAAAATAACTTTTGACTCAAGAGTTTGAGGATCTATTCCTTGGAAAAGACTCAGGTTCTTGCCAGTTAAGTTCAGGTCCATATGCTTTGAAAAGGAACTAGCCAGAAAATAATCTTAAGATTTTCTAAGGCAAGTTAAGAGGCCTAATCAAGATTCACCCCTGAACACATGGTATGATCTCTGTACTTAGATAATCCTCAGGTAGATGGCCTGCCTTCTGTACTTAGGTGATTCCAAGTTGCTGGCCTATCCCTGCTGTCTGCACTTAAAGGGGAGTCAGAGTGCGCAGCTCCTCTGTTTCGATGCTAAGCGTGTTTTAGCTTCATAGGATCGTTTCTCTACGTCTTCATCCCCTGCTGTACTTCTGGTGTCTGGTAGACAGGGAATGGACTGTGTTTTACTCTTGATTGCTTATACCAAGAGATTTGTGTTTGTAGTGAATTAGACTAGCCAGTCTTTCATATCTGGTATTCATACATCACTAGACTGTTTTATTTTTTTTTTTAATCTTTTAAAGATTTTATTTATTTATTTGAGAGAGAGAATGAGAGAGAGCACAAGAGGGGAGAGGGTCAGAGGGAGAAGCAGACTCCCCGCTGAGCAGGGAGCCCGATGCGGGACTCGATCCCGGGACTCCAGGATCGTGACCTGAGCTGAAGGCAGTCGCTTAACCAACTGAGCCACCCAGGCGCCCTTATTTTTTTTTTAATTTTTAAAATTGGCAAGAAGTTTTTTCCTCCTCTTCTTTTTGTTTTGTGTAATCCTGTTCTCCTTATCAAAATCCTGTATATCAAACGACAATACTTATTGTAAGTAAAATACAGCATCATTGTAATGCTATCTCAGAAGCAAGAATATTTCCCTGGCTCATCCATTTACTGTTCAAATAGCAGTGCTTGACCTGTGATAGTCACTGCAGCCCTCCGTGTGTTTCCATAGTATTCTCTATTTATCATGAACAAGTACAATGTAGTTTTTGTTTTTTTGTGTTTTTTTGACAGTCATATCTCTTAGAGGGGATAGGGCACTGGGGGTGGGCCCGGGACACCCCTACTGCGCAGCATGTTCATTGGCGCTGCTTCCAGAGTCCTGTGGCTTCATCACAGTAGGCAGCTCAGGAAGGCTGGAGAAGGGCTCCATGCACAGGGCTTTGAACCATTCATGTGAATGGGGAGAGCTGCTCAGGAGGCCAGGCCCACAGTAGCTGGGGCCTGCGGCCACACCGTCCAACTGATGAAGCCACACTCTCCCACTGTCTTGCCATCATCCAGAAGCTGGTCATCCTTGTACAGCTGCTGCTCATCGGGCAGCCACTTGAGGATGCCCTGGAGGATGCACTTCAGCCTGAACGTGGTGCTCCACTCCTTGGTGTCCGTGAAGATGGTGGTCCTGTGGTTCTGGATTATGAGGAACCTGTCCTGGGGGTGGGCAGCCCTCCCAGTGTGGCCTGCTGCTCCCAGCCCCTGCCCGGCCAGTACAATGTTGTTTTAATGCTCCCTTGATCATTCCTGTTTACTTGCCTGTGCCCTACTTGGGGTGGGGGGTGAGGGGCCGAGAAGGTATCTTGTTTATGGTTGTAGTCCCAGTACCTGACACATTACAGAACTCAGAAAAGCTATATTGAATGAATGAGAGAGAGAGTGAATGAATGTACAAATCATGCTAGGGTCAAGGGATGCAAAGATGAATAAGCCCCTGTCTTATGCTGCCTTGAATCCTCTTGCCAAAATATTTTAAAGAACAAGTGCATGATGTACGACAGGCCAGCATTAGATTGTGCTGATTCAAAGAACCTGAAGTTGGGGAGATGTGTGGGAGGAAATAGGGGGCTTTAGGAAATGGAAGGTGGGCTGTGTGAGCAGAATGGCTCTGGGAGCAACTCCAGGAAGGTCCAGGTTGGAGTAGCTGCAGGAAGCATTAGGATAGAGAATTGGGGTTCAGGATCATTATTAGCAATGGGGAAAAGTACACATTTAAAAATGCATCATTGGGGGCGCCTGGGTGGCTCAGTCATTAAGTGTCTGCCTTCAGCTCAGGTCATGATCCCAGGGTCCTGGGATTGAGCTCCTCATCGGGCTCCATGCTCGGCAGGGAGTCTGCTTCCCCCTCTCCCACTCCCCCTACTTGTGTTCCATCTCTCACTGTCTCTCTCTCTCTCTCAGTCAAATAAATAAATAAATGTCTAAAAAAATTTAAAAAGTAAAAAGATAAAATAAAAATGCATCATTGCCATAAAAAAAGCCAAGAATAAAAAATACGTTCCAAAACTTTCATGTTACGATGACAGTGAAAAGTATTCTCTGACCTGATCTAAATCTTACATAGAATGATTTCCTTTTTGATCTATTCACTGCTATTTTTGGGGGGGGACAGTGACTTTAGACCATTTATTGAAGAGGAACAGAGAGATCCTTGGCCATTTTTGCCTGTTTGATCATGTGGTTTTCATCAATGAGAGGTAATTTTTTTGTGTGTTTTGTTTTTAATCACCAGGGAGCCTAAAGAAGGAGGTATGCGCATGGATATTTCTCTAGCGCCCTCCTCACTCCAGGTGAAGACCCCGGAAGGCTGCACAGAACTCCGGTTTCCAGCAGAGGTCAGGCTCGTGCCTTCCTCCTGCCGCGGGCTGCAGTACGTCCCGGGAGATGGACTGCACCTGCGGCTGCAGGTGTGGGCAGAACCCGACAACACCAGTGAGTGATCTCAGTGCTCCTGCTCCTGCATTTAGTTTTTCTTTGTAGATCAAAGGTGATTTTTCCTTTGAAAAGTTGACCTTTTCCCAGGTGAAAAAGACTGTTCAGCAGCAACATGGAAAGAGCTGGTCAGAAGGTTCTTTGTCAGCTCTGCCACTTAGTTGTGCAGTTGAGCATGCCACTTAACCTTTCTGGAGCTTTGTTCCGAAGGCTGGGGGGCGGGGTTGGGGGGGGTGAAGCAGTTAGTGTTTTTTTTTTTCCTCCTAGTAGATTTTATTCTTTAGAGCAGTTTTAGGTTCACAGCAAAATTAGCAGAAGGCACAGAGATTTCCCATATAACCCCTGCTCTGTTTCTTTAACTGTAAAATTGCCCAGCTCCCAGGGTTGATAGGAAGATGAAATCAGATGGCAGTTGTGCAAGATCTGGTGGATTTTAAAGCATTACATAGAAATTCATCCATTCAACAAACACTGCCCTACACTGTGCGTTAGGCTTTGATCTAGGTGCTAGGGATACAGAAGTGAATAGGCTAGGAAGGCCTCTGCCTTTTGGGGGGTTATGTTCTTGTGGGTGGGAACAGATAATGAACAAATAAGTTGCTTGGATACAGAGAAAAGTGCTGTGGTCAAAGAGGAGCAGAGTAATGGGATAAGGAGTGACTAGTGTGAAAGGTGCTCAGGGAAGGCTTCCCTCTGAGGAGGGGTAATATGTGCCCAGAGAACCGAATGATGGAAATGATCCAATCCCTGTAGAGACATTTCCAAATAGAACAGTATATATACAGATCCTGAAATTGAGTTTGATGCATAATTTGATTTTGATTATTGCTATGCCTATTACATTTCTAGTATTTTGTTATTGCCACATTGATTCAGTAAGATGGTAGAAATGTTTCTCAGAATAACTTATTGAATAAAATTATTGGCTCATTGCATCTCTTCACATGTAAGTAATGTGCTTCACAGGATGAAAAATGATGTGAAAGGGGAACAGGCTGTAACAGACCTGTGAGATGCTCATTATCAGGAGAGGATTATGATTTTTTCAACTGCACCCCGAGACTTTGTGGCTGCCGCATCTATACTAAGCCTTTCATTTGAGCTGCGTGGAGCCCCCAGGTGGGGTCAGCAGGGTGGTTTTGAAGAGCCGTGTAGGAGATGTGGAGCATTCCCCCGAGTTCTTGCTGCTTTATTCATTGTCGAGTAATTTTTGCTCAAGTCCTAAATTAGTGAATAACTAGTCTTGAGTTGGGCAGAGTTGGATTTAGGAACAAGGCGTAAGGAACCGAAATGTCATGGAGCTGAAGTGACGTATCCACATGCTAAGAATGACTACTGTAATAACCATGGAAAGAAGTATGGGGTCACCAAGATGGGAAATAGACTGACAATGGAAACTGGGCAAAGGCGGGCACGAAAGCCACACTCAGGTATTTTCAGATCTGCCGGTTTTCTGGATTTGGATTTTAGGTCCCATCCTGAGGAGGTGGTATGGAAGCCTTCTAGAGACACAGTTGGGTTGTCACCTGCCCGTCTTCTGTAACGGTTAATAAATAGCAAAACTTGAACTAGTAAAGAAAATTTAAATCAGCAAGCATGATTGTTTCATTGTAACTGTAGGACACAATAAGTTGACTGCTGAAATGTTGGTTTGCATATTGCTTGCATTCATTGGTCTGCTGTGGCTTTCCATTTTTTAAAACATTTTACTCAAATATCTGAAAAGGAAGACTTTCAAAGCCCTGTTCTGCAGTGCATGAAAGGGTATGCAAAATAGATCTCAGTATTTAATAACTTCAGTGCTTTCCACATAATAGGTGGTGAGTAAATATTTGCTGAATGAATAAATACCGGATTGATGCATACTAATGCTGACTTGAATCAAAATGTAGTGTAGGAAGCGACTTGACATTTTTAGCATTCAGTTGTATTTTGAGGTTTTTTAAGAAGTTGACTTTTCAACTATAAATGTTCTTTTAAGGACTACAGTAAGCCTATTGTTGTGCTGTTCTGAATGTAACATAGGTCAGATCATGACCCTCGACATGGACATGGCTACAGTAAAGTCTGAGACAGCGCCAGCATTAGACTCATCCGCAGGGGGCAGTACTCTCCCATGATGCCACCTTGTCAGGAATTCTGACTTGAACTTGATCATGCTGGGTGACCAGCAGGGGGGAGTGTTTCTCTGAAAGTTTGTTTATTGGTTTGGAAAAGAATGTTTGGATGACTTAACCCAGGTCTACTTATTATCTGCTCAAAATTAAGGAATACTGTTTATTTCACCTTAGTGCTACAGGGATTGGCAGATACCCCTAGAAATTAAAAGGATGAATTTTTAATTGCCAAGGCTTAAACTTTCTACCATCAGTCTTTAAAATCTTAACATATGTACAAAGTAACATAAACCAAGTTCAAATTGCTTGATTCTAATGAGTATGACCTCATTTCTTTAAGGTTGTTTGTTTTTTTTTTTACAGTCAAATTTTTGTGTGTGGGTTTTTTGTTTTGGGGGAGTTTTTTTTGAAATGAAAGTTTCCTTCATGAATAAAATAATGGAAACTAAGGGAATGCTGTGCTTCATATAGTGTGGATTTTTCCACAGCTTTAATCAGAAATTGAGTTTTGTTCTTAGAAGATTGAATTCTTCTTAGGAGCCATTCCATTCCCAGGAACCTGTCCAATAAAGACCAGTTTCAAGATGATTCTTGTTTTATGTACTGGTAATAGGCCAGAGTGGACATAGACTTTATTTAAATTAAACTTAAATTTGAGGGATAGAAGCAGCAGTCACACTGATGAAAACTGGACGGAGAACATAGCCGCGGAGGAAGGCTGAGGATGGTGAGGCCCCCTGTAGTGAGCTTGATGTGAAAGCAATCGCCCTCTTTCTTCTTCCTTAATGTTGGTATTTATGGAATGAGTGAAATAACTCAGTGGTATGTTGCAGGGATAATCTAGGGCCATACCTAGCTCTGAAACACTTAGCACAATCTGTTGTTTTTGAGAACACGTCACAATATTTGCTTCTCGTTGAGTCATCAGATAATGCTAATTAAATGTGTACTTCTGGGTGAATCGTAAACAGTGTTTATTGATAGTAATTTATTGTGGCTGTTAAACTCTTTATGTTAATATATTTGTCCCACACTTCTGAGATTTGCTCTTTCATCGATTTCTCTTTAGAGCTGATTTCAATGTTTAATCAAAGCTCACAAGCCCAAGGATGTTGCACATTTTATTGCCAGTCCTGCGGTGAAGTCGTAATAAGGAACAGGTAAGGAATGTATTTTACACTGATTAATTCTGTGCCTGGCAATGGTTTTCTTCTTTTCTATCAGAATTTTTGAAGTAATTACCAGGGGAGCCATATATGGCCTTAAAATGAGAGCCAGCTTAATGTCACTTTGAGCAAAATCAACCCTAAAACCCTCCAGCAATCATAGAGCAGTTAGGCCTTCTAAAGGTGACAAGGGGGAACATAGCATGCTGGCTTTGAGGGAGGAAGGCTTATCTTGATGGAAGCCTGTGTTGATCACCGAAGCATGTCTCTTCTGAAAAGAGGGGCTTTGGTGCATGTTTTATCCATCATGTTGGTGAATGAGGTTTCTTCCACAATAAGTGAATTTTCTAAATCCCAGAGGCTCTTGCAACACAACTTTTTATTTGAACTATTTCTATTGGTCCCTTTCTAAAATCCATTTCCTATTTCCCTGCTTATTAAAACAGAGCATACAGAGCACAAATTAACCTTTTCTTGATGATTAGGTTAATCTTATTACCTGTTCTTGCAGTGTGCTGTGATTACTCTTTTGAGATGGGAAAGGGCCCTTTACTATAGTCTTTGTATTCCCAAGGTGTCTCTTTTTATTATTTTTTCCATCTTCTCCTTTCCTTCTGTCATCCTACTTGTTTCCTGGGCACAAAGCCTTTCCCCTGAATATTCAGTTTCTAATCACTCATAGGTTGGAAAGACAGATCAAAACCTTATTGTTGTTAACAATCCTTACAGAAAGAAGTTAGATTTCTTCATTAGATATATTTCCACTGAGCCGGGTGCCTGAGACTTATCTGGGGATGGATCCTTCTCCATATCTGAAACCTGCTCCTCTTACAGTGTTCCTTGTCTCAATGAATGCCAGACCTCTACCTGCAGAGAGCTTCCTCTCTCCCCCTGGGGTGTGCCCCAGACCCCCTCTCTCCCTCTGGTTAGCTCCTACCTGAATTCATCTGACAGAGTATCTATTGCCAGGAGCCTTCCCTGAGCCCTGGGTTGGTTTATGTGCTCCTCCAAGGTTTATTTGCCTGTCTTCCCAATTGAGCTATAGGTTCTGGGGTTGGAATAGTCTTACTGACCTATATCCCTTATCCCTACTCATATTTAGAGTGCATTGTAGGGTAGCGGCTAGTGGTATAGACTCAGAAGCGAGACTGTCTGGTTTGCATCCACTATTTACTAGCTGTGACTCTGGGCAAGTTACTTAATTAACCACTTCATGCCTCAATTTCCCTATTACAAAAGTATAGATGAGGATAGGAGCTACCTTGGGTTGTTTAAGGGTTTATTGCAGTGCCTGGCACATGGTAGGCATTCAGTATATGATGGCTACCACTATAATTATTATTTTTATCACCCCTAGCATCATCACCATCAGCCCCAGCATCAGGCCACAGTGCCTGAAGAATAGTGTACTCCCAATAAATTCTTCCTGGGTTGAATTGAATAAACAGTAGGGTGCTTATTTTGGCCTTCCACCAGCCTCTCTTGCTTACTTTCTGATTCCTGGCAGTGCCCCAGGTAGATGAGATCATGGAAAGTTACCCTAGTATAAGTGGGGGGATTGTGAATGGAGCACCTCCGAATGATTATCTTGGGTAAGAGATGAGATGACTAAATCCGCAGAAGAAAGAATGTCCTTGCTCACATTACCTACGGGCTGAAGTTGCTGCAGAGTATGCAGTCCGTGACAGACCTACTGTAGCCTGAAATGTCCAGAGGATTCCAATTTGCATTGTAGTTAAACCCGGAAACTTCTCCTTCTCTCAGTCTATTTCAGGCTTTGGTTGAATTCTCACATGAAGTTTCTGAAACATGCACGCCTATACAACAATGGCATGACTTAGAAGTCACAGGAAGAGCAAGTTAAATGCAGTGTAGCCCTGTTTCCTGGTACTGCTCCCTGTAAAGGATATGCTCATCCATTATTGGCTAATATTTGTGTTTCATTGGGAAAGGATGATGATATTAAAAATGGTTACCTGTAGCGATTTTTCCTATGTAGGAACTATATCTTCTGTTTTGTGTCAATTCTTTTTCTGATCGTGGAATTGAGAACTAGAAGAATTGTGAACCTGGAAGGACAGTTTCAGTCTCCCTAACCGTGACCCTCTGGAGGCTGTGTGCTGTGAAGCAGAAGTGGGAGAATGGGACCTTGGGTTGTAACTCCAGCTTCACCACTTAGTAGCTGGGGAACCTTGTGCATGTCACCTCAGCTGCTTTTTAAGTAGACATAAGGAGTCTTCTTAGACATGTCAAGAGGCAGGATCTCGGTGATGGAGAAGACTTCAGAGCTTATTTAGGCCTAACTCCCACTCTAAACAGGCACCCTTTATTGGATTTCTTCCTCTTCTTTGTAAAAACTCAAACCTGACCTATCACTTCCCTGCTTGAAATTCTATAATGCTTCCTGTTTGTGTTTCTTCGTAAGTAGACATAATAAGGCCTATTTTCCAAACTTGTCAGAAGAGTTAAGGGCTGTCATATATATAATAGCAAAACTTGACAAGCTCTTTTTAATTGGTTTTATAGACTCCTTCCACCCCCTTTTCCATATTGGTCTTTATTAACAAACTAGCAAATGACCTTGTGTAGTGTGTCAGGTCTTTTTGATTCAGGAGTCTATTTTTGAGGTGTGCCAGGGAAATGACCCTCCTTTCTCCCTTTTTCTTTCTGAGAAGATAAACATGGACTTGACTTAGGCCTTGCCTCGCTTAAACAAGGTTTACCTGGAAGCCTTTTCCTGTCACACCTGTGTGGCTGGCAAGTGTATGCCTCTGAACAATGCAGAGAAATCCTTAGTGGGAGAGTCAAGGCTTTGCTTACATTTCACACTTAGGCAGCATGCCCCATGCCTGTTTGTTGGAAAAACAAGCATCCTCCAGTATCAGCACAAGGATTTCATGTTGACTTTTTATATTAAACCCAATGGTCTTCTCATTTCTCCCTCAGTTATCTGTGGGTAGTAAGGACATCTTTTGTGCTTGTTAAATAGAAAACAAAACCAAAAGAGGCTTGTGTGTTCTATAATCAAAACCAACTAATTGTAAGCATCTTTTCCAGGAGGGTGTCTTGGGATAGGTTGATTTATCTGTACTGGGAACTCTTCTAATAAGAGGAGGGAGCAGAGTTAAGATCTGCTTACTGGCTAGCCTTATTATATGGGAATAAGTAAGTCACTTTAATTTTCTAGGCCTCAGTTTCCTTATCCGTAAAATGAGGAGTTGGATTGGATACAACTATAGGAGTCCTACCACCAGAAAATTCTGATTAGTGAACCTCATAAAGTTGTACCTTGGGTTCTGTGATTCATGGTCATTTGGGTAGTGCAAGACTAATCCTTGTTCCTTTTTTTCTTTATTGAAAAAATTTCTCATAAAGCAAATTATAGAAATGAGGTGCAGAGGACTGTTTAATCTATTACGACTCATTAATGGCTTTTAATACCTATTAGAATCAAGGTGCATGAAATCTGCTACTTATTAAGCAGTCTTTTTTTCTTAATTTAGGAACATGTGATCTTAGCCATTTGTTTTGGTTATTTGAAAATAAATAATGCTTCATTTCCTTGCCATAAAATTCTCCAGTTTACATTTTTACCAGTTCATAGTATTTGTATAAAAATTGTCTGACCAGGGGCACCTGGATGGCTCAGTCAGTTAAGCATCTGACTCTTGATTTTGGCGCGGGTCATGATCTCAGGGTTGTGAGATTGAGCCCCACGTTGGGCTCCACACTCAGCATGGAGCCTGCTTGAGATTCTCTATCTCCCTTTCCCTCTGCCCTTTCCCCTGCTCTCCCTCTCTAAAAAAAAAAAAAAATGAACATGTACAGTTTTTGATTAAGCTATTGATTATGCTCTTGTTGAGACTAACAGGCCTTAGTATCAAGTGACAATAATGACAAAATTTACTTTTTTGAAAATAGTCTCAGAAACAGCTGAATGGTTGTGTTTAGAATTTGTTTGTATCTCCTAGAAATAAATTCATGCCAGACTTGAGTTATATCAGTTGGCCAAACAGACTTTCAGACATAAAAGCTTTTGATTTTCTGTCCATTTGTGAGGTCTCCTAAGGTCTCTGGACAGGCCTTCCTCATTCCACCTGCACCGCAGAGCTGGGTGTCAGCCCAGCAGTTAGGGAGGCTTGGAAACTCTAGAAGGAAACAAGTAGAATGGACTTTATGGAAACATAAGAGATATCAGACTATCCAACCAGCTGGTCCACTTGACAGACCAGCTATAATTATAGTCTGAAAATAACTACTCCTATGAATGCAGTCACTTGTCTATGAAAGAGAATAAAGAGGCGGAAAAAGAGTACAGGCACAAATTGGATTGTTGGTAATATTGTACAAACTTTTGGAAAAAAAAGGATGATACTTTTATAGTCTAATTGTACTATGTACAAAATGGTAATAAAATGCAAAGCTTGGTTCATAGGATTTGTCGTCTACCAGTTGGATATTACCAGTTGAATTTATCTAAATTTCGGCAGCCATATTTTGAGCTGTAGATGTTTGATGTTGTTCTTAAGGTTCTTAACGTCCACTTGGTTATAATCCAATCTGTAAAAGCTCGATGTTGTTACCATTGTTATTGTCACTGAATAATGGCTCATTTTAAAGTTAGGGGGCATTTCATTTTCTTGTCTACATGTTTAAGTTTTGAATAAGCATCATCAATCAATAGCATTGATTAACATTGTGTATTTTATTTGTTCCTAAAGCTTGTGGTTAAGATACATTAAAAATAACTAGCAAAGTTTAATTTATTATAAATTAACATTTATTATAATTTATTATAAATTTACATGTGTTTCTGTTATTTTAAGCTGAGAGATAATTCAAGAAATCATTTCACTCTTTTTCTGAGCTTTGGCAGGTTTTTCCCCAAAAACTGCCTTGAAAAAAATGGTATCTATTTTATTTTGAAAGTTCTCTTGGGAAGTAGATCATATCAAAGTTTCAGGGTTTTTGACAGATATACTTTGAGTAGAGCT